CCGCCGCACCGGCCTCCTCGGCGGTTTTGTAACCGACGAACGCCATCTGGCGCGAGACGCCATCCCTTTTGGGGGGGGGTGTCGGGGTCGCAGGTCGGGGCGGGCGGAAACAGCGTCGGCGCCGCGCGGAGCGGGCGCATGGGGGCGCGGCGGCGCAGGATGCAGTGCGTGAAGGGTTGTGCGATGTATGCGGCGGGTGGACAAGAGCCGCCCTGCGTCGGGCGGGCGCAGCGGCGGGCGGCGATGCGGCGGCCAGTGCCGCTGCTTTCGCGGCGGGCCCTGGTGACGCAGCGACCGGGAGGCCCAGCTGCGCAGCCACTCACTTTGTCTTCAGGATTTTGACGTCCGTGACCACACCCTTGGACGCAAAGTGCTCCTTGAGGCGCTTCTCGGTCAGGTATTTGGGGATGTTCTTCACGCATAGGCGAGACGTTGCCTCCTCCGTATGCTCCTCCATCTTTGCAGCACGACGCGCCCGCGTCTATGCACGAGCGAGGCCAAAGGCCGCTGACCCGGTGCTGCTTGAGATTGGACAAAGCACCTATAGCTTTGATAGCAACGCTAATGTTCGAGTTCAAGCCAAATTGAATCATTTGCGGCGAAGGGCAACACATAGACCTGTGCAGCAGGAGCTTTTGCCTTTCGACTGTTCACGGGTGCCTGATTTCAGTGCTGCGGCGCTTCACAACCCCCCATCATACGCCCCGCAGGCCACACCATTCTTTACTCACTTGCAGAGTTGTTTCGTCTTCGCAGAGCGTACCGCATCAAGATCACAGCTGCTCGGTCCCCAATAGTCATCAGCGCTCCTGTCAACATGGGGAAGGCCAAAAAGACACGGAAATTCGCCGAAGTCAAGCGGTTGCTGAGCCCCAAGGACATCAAGTGCGCCGATAGGCTTCAATTCAAGCGGCGGCAGCCTCAAGCGTAGCCGCCGCCGCCGCCGCGCTTGTGTGTGCCGCCACCTGCCGCACCACACTGCAGCACGAGCCACCATGCAGCCCCGGTAACAGTGCTCCTTGCAATACCTTGTGCACAGGCCGCCGAAGGAGAAGCAGCAGCACAAGAAAGACGAGAAGAAAGTGCGGCATGTGTGAGTGCCCGTTGAGCCGCAGAGAAGGCGCCTGCATCGAGCGTGCTCTCTCCCCATCCGTTTGCGCCAGCGCCAGGGCAAAATCCACATGCTCGTCCACGTAGTCGGGCAGCAATACGCAACGCCGCGCTCCCCGCGCCTGCTGCAGCCGCGACCAGCTTGCCCGCCCCAAACCACCCCAACAGCGCGCCCATCGCCTGAACCCCCACCCCCCTCCTCTACCCCGTCCAGTGAGAAGGTGTCCAGCGCCCTCTTCTTCAAGTACAACACCCAGCTGGGCCCCCCCTACCAGGTGCTGGTGGACACCAACTTTATCAACTTTTCCATCAAGAACAAGGTGTGTGTGTGTGTGTGCGCGCGCGCGCGTGCACGCGTGTGCGTGTGGGTCCGGGCCGCGTGGTGGAGATGAGCTAGGGGACACGCAGTGGGAGTGTGTGTCAAGGACGGGCAGGACCCACCTCGCCAGAAGCGACGCATCCCACCCCCCTCGCAGGCCGCAACACAATCAAGCATTCGCCGCCGGGCTGTGACCCCGTCTCGTCCGGCGTCCCTCCGTCCTGGACCCCTCACCCCACTCCCTCTCCCCATCTCTCCCGGACTGCAGATTGACCTGGTGCGCGGCATGATGGACTGCCTCTACGCGGAGTGCACCCCCATAGTCACGGACTGCGTCATGGCGGAGCTGGAGAAGCTGGGCCAAAAATACAGGGTGGCCCTTAAGGTCGCAAAGGTGGGGTGGCGCCAGCAAATTTCCAGGGTTTAGGGTCCAGGGTTTAGGGTCCAGGGTTTTCCCCCCCAAAGCGGTGCCTTTCCCTTGGGGCCCGCGTCGTGACGGGTGCTGCGTGGGCGTTGTTGGGGCCGACTGAGCTTGGTGATGGCGGCGCGACGGCGGGCCTGGGGGCGGGCCCTCAGGCGGCGGCTTTGGAGCGCTGGGAGGGGCGGGGGGCGGTGCTCTCGGCCTGGTGCATCTCAGGGCTCACCAAGTGTTCTGTGTTGCTTCCAGGACCGTCCTCAGCCTTCGCCTCAACATACTTAACTACACACACCCTCTCTATCTCTCTCTTTGACGCACCGCGCGTACACACACACACACACACATACACACACACCCGCGCGCGCACACACACACACACACACCTACACACACACACACACACACCCCCCTACACACACACACACACATACACACACACAAGTGTACACTCTCAGACACACACTCCTTCTCACACTCACAATCACTCTCACACACAAACACTCTCTCTCACTCACAGGACCCCCGGGTGGAGCGGCTACCGTGCAGCCACAAGGGCACCTACGCAGACGACTGCATCTGCGAGCGCGTGGCGCAGGCCAAGTGCTACATCGTGGCGACCTGCGACAGGGACCTGCGGCGGCGGATACGCAAGGTGGGGGCGCGGCGCGGCTGGGTGGGGCGGGCGTGAGGGCCCGGGTAAAGGGCGGTCAGGGTGTGGCAGGGGCCCCTGGCCTATCAGGATGCGTGTGCCTGTGTGTGCGTGCGTGCGTATGTGCACGCTGGTGTGTGGGAGAGAGAGAGTGTGTGTGTGTGTGTGTGTGTGTTTGCGTGCGCGCGAGCGCACGCTTGTGCATGTGGCGCAAGCTTGTTACCAGAGGACGATGATTTCAACTATACTTGCGAGACTGCTAGCCCCGCACTCACAAAATCCGCGGGGCCGCGTGGTTGCAAACGGTGAACAATCTATGAGTCCCAATAAGTGCGTGCGCAAAATAGACCCCCCGGCGCGCCTCGGCCCCCCATGGCCGCGCCTCGCTGTTTGGTCGACGGGGAGGCTTCCTCGTTTCTCTCGATTCTCTCAACCTCGAGACGAGTGTCGCATTGCTGGGTCCACCTGGCGGTCGAAACCCTGCATCATTTTCACAGTCGCCATCCCATGCAACTGTCCTGCCCC